AGCATTGGCGGATCTGAGTGAGCCATGCTTCGGCCTCTCGTCCTCGGGAATGTAGTTGGACGATGGGACGCCCTTCTCCCAGTAGAGCTCAAGGAGACGCTTGTTCTTGTCGAACTCGGCCTTCTTGAGAGGAAGCTGGTCACAATGGACACGCTTCTCAAAGCCCCACTCGGGAATAAGGACATCGAAAGCGGACTCGTACACGCAAAGGACGATACCTTCGGCGATGAGATCACCACCCCTCTCCTGCCTGACCTTGTCCATCTTGCGGCAAGCTTCGATGTGAACACTCTGCTCCTGGGCAGCATGAGCAGAGTCCTTCTTGGTGTTGCACATCTCGGCAGTCTTGGCCAAAGCCTCGATGTCTTCGGTGAACTCAATGGCACCGTTGGAGAGGACAGCCTCTAGCTGGCGGTGGACGATGATGTCGGCGTAGCGGCGAGATGGGTTGGTGAAGTGGGTGTAGAGGGGAAGGTTCAGGGCGTAGTGAGGGTACTGGTCCTCAGGCAGCCTGCCAGCAACGAAGTACTTGGCACGAGGCATCGACTTGATGACGAGGGTCTCCATGCCCTTCCGGATGTCATCGTCCTCAACCTCGAACAAGCTGTTCTGCAGAGTGCCACTGCTCTCGGTGTTGATGTCGTAGCCAATGGCACCCATGCGCTCTGCGATAGTCGTCAAGCGGCGGGGGTTGGGCGAAGGCTGACGGCGCAAGAGAGCCTTCTCAGGTAGGCCGGTAGCGAGCTTCTTCGCAACAAAGGTGTTAGCAAGATGGCTGAGCTCCTCAATGCACTCGTGGGCAGGAGAAGAATCGAAGATGTTCTGCTCGACAGGAACATTCTCGTCGTCCAGCTGGTACATGAGGCGCAGAGCCTTGACATCGCTGGAGCGGTCGCCGAAGCGAGCCTGGCGGAACTTCTGGGAGATGTGATGCAGCATCTTGATGTCCTTAGCACGGGCTGCCGAGACCGGACCATCGTTACCGTTGATAACGGTATCGACCTCGTCGTAGGACAGCTTTCCAGAGCTCTTGATCACAGCCTTGCCAACCCAGGTCTCATCATCTGAGATTTTACCAGAGGTAGGATCGACCTTGAATACGACACTAACGGTGTAGCGCTCCTCACCAGGGTTGAGGCAGCAGATGTCGTTCGACAGACGGGGTGGGAGCATGTTGACGGTGCGGTTCATAAGATAGACCGCAGTTCCACGCTTCTTGGCCTCGCGGTCAACAAGCGAGTTGGCCTTGATGAAGTGGGCAACATCAGCAACGTGGATACCAATCTCGACACGGCCGTCATCAAGGTATTTGAAGTGAATGGCATCATCAAGCTCCTTGCTGCCGTTGGGGTCGATGGTGAAGGTCTCCTCGCTTCGGAAGTCGCGGCGGCTCTCGAGCGCCTCCTCGCCGTCGTTGGCGACGGACCAGTCTTCAAAGCCTACGTTCTTGATGACGGCGTCGGAGAAGTCATCTGGACCAAAGTTGTTGTCGCGCAGAAGTGCGTCGGTCTCCACCTTAAGGTCGCCCATGACTCCGAGCTGCTCGACGAGGGTACCGAAAGGATGCAGAGACGTTATGGGCCATCGCTTAATGCATGCGACAAAGATGCGGTCGGCGTAGTCCTGGTGCTTCTCAACGAAGTCACGTGGAGCTTGCTCGGTGGGGATGGCGATCAAAGGCACACGCTTGTCTGTTGGCTTGAACCAGACAATCTTGGGCTTGTTCTGGGTTTCTGGCTGAGAGCGGCCGGAGTTGCCCTCACGAGCCTGTCGCTCAGCTTCCTGCTTCTCCTTGGTGGCTTGGCTGCTAGGACGCAGGAGTCCGAGGGATCTGTGGTAATGATTAGTGAGATACTCAAATAAAGATGATATGCTCGCTTACCCTGAGAACATCTGTCCAGCAACACGCTCGATGACAGCAACAATGTGACCTGCGTACAGAGGCTTGAGCTCATCGTTGATCTCCTCCTCCTCCATGAGGAGCAGGCTCTGGCCTTCGACTTCAACATCGTCGTTCTTCTTCTGTGTGGGCCGTTGGCGGAGACTGCCACGTCGGCGAATGCCACCCTCAGAGCCAGTCTCAGGTTGGGTAGTGGCATCATTGACGGCGATACTACCGCCGCGAGGGTCTGCGTTGTCCTTGCGCTTCTTCTTCTCTTCCTTTTCGCGCTTCTGACCCCAGACCTCGTCGACGTCAAGAAGTTCGACAGCGACCAGATCTCCTTCGAGAGCTCGGTTCCTGTCTTTGCTACCGCAGATGAAAATGTCAGCATCCAGATCAGTAGTTGTGACATAAGCATCACTGCGGTTCTTCTTGTTAACGCGGAGGATTCCGGCAACGAGTTGGCCGTCGCCGAGGAGAGCGGGCAAGGTGGCCTGCGGGAGGTAAGGAGTGAATAGCGTCTTGCGCTGTTGCTGCTGGTTTTGCTGCATGCCCATCTGGGGTGCATGCTGGCTGCCTCCGAGACCGCCACCCTGCATCTGGGCGGCCTGGAGAGCCTGTAAATGAGCGATCTGCATGGGGTTTAGCGGCTGGCCGAACATCTGCTGTTGCAGGAGAAGCTGGGCCTGGTTGCCCATTTGCATCTGAGGCTGGCCGCCATACTGGAAGTTGCCGAGAGTGCCAACGGACTGGTTGACCGATCCACGTGTGCGGTGGCCAGGCTGGAAAGGAGCGGCATTGGCGGTCTGGTTCATGTTGAAGTTGCCCATGTTTTGGGACTGGTTGTCTTGCGTAGGCTGTTGCTGGGTGTTGTTCTGGGGCTGTCTCCAGTTGCCCTCGAAGTTGCGAGACTGGCTCCTGCCATGGCCCTGGCTGCCACGGCGCTGGAAGTCAGACTGCTGACCGTTGTTCTGGTTGGTAGGGTTCTCGCTGGTAGCTGGGAAAGAGAAGGAAGGCCCACCACGGCCAGCACTTCCACCGCCGCGTCCTACAGCCATGCTCTGACTGCGGCCGTGACCACCTCGTCCACCACGGGCGGAAGCAGTGTCGTTGGAAGCGCTGTTTCCACTGGGGCTGGCATCACGGTTGGAGCTGCCCTCAGTCGAGCCAGGAATGGGGAACTGGAAGCCCGAAGTCTTTCTCTTCGATTCGGCCTGTTCGGCAGCCTTCTTCGCGTCGGCGAGAGCTAGTGAGTGACGGCGGGTGTGGCCGGAGCCACCAGCACTGCCACCACCCCGGCCACGAGGGTTGACGTTTTCCCTACCCTGGCCACCCTGTTGTGCACCGAATTCGCCGAAGCCAGACGCACCGGAGGAAGGAGCGGGGGGTGGGCCGCCCATGCCGACTTGGGGCAGGGCGGACTGGTTGCGGCGGTGGGCGGAAGGCTGGGCTGGTGCGCCCATAGGGACAGCGAGGTGTTGCTGCTGCTGCTGCATTTGCTGCATCTGCTGGGGGAACTGGTAGTTGTTGACTTGGGGCGAAACATTGGGCATCTGGCCCTGCATCTGGAAGTTGCCGAGCTGCTGCTGCGGCTGGATCATGCCCATGTTCACATATTGCTGATGCGTTGCAGCGATCTGCTGCTGTTGTTGCTGGAGAACCTCGATCTGCTGTGCGATGGCGAGCTGTTCCACTATGCGGCTGTCAGCAATTGCCCAAAGTGGCTATCAAATGCGTTTACGTACTCATCAGCGGTGTCAGCTCTGACGGACTGCGGCGATGCGCAATGTGCAGACGACGACCGGCGGGACCCATGGGGCCCTGCTGGCCTTGTTGCTGATCCATAGTGGATAATGTAGTGTGAATGATTCAATGCCCGCTTGCAGTGTATATGCTGTTGGAGAAGAGACGGTCGGACACGAATTGGTCAAAAGTGTGATGGATTTATCTGCGGGCAATCAGCATGAGGGATCAGATAAGGTTTGCAGCGAGCGAACGAGTGAAGCGATGTAGGTAGTGAGAGTGTAAGCAGGCAGATGGGGGACAGACGCAGGGTCGGCAGCGGTATGCTTGAGCGAGCGATCGAGCGAGCTAGCGGGGAACAACTCACGTTGGGGTAAGCGTGCTGGTTGGGCGGTGCTAGGAGCGAAGAGGATGTTCTCTTAGACGATGATTACTTGGGGGTGGTGCTCTGCAAGCCAGAAGCGGGTGGGTGTCGTGTTCAGACAGACGTGTCGATGGTCTAGGAGGGTTGATAAGGAGGGTCGACCAGATCAAAGAGCGCGGTTTCCCTAGGACGGGCTGTTGGTGGCAGTACAACCAAAATGCGGGCGGAGAGAGTGCTTCGAAGGAGGGAGCGATCGAGGAGGGCGGGCAGGAGGGATGCAGAAGAGAGGGCAGAGGGCAGGCAAGAGGGCCGTCAGCGTGCTCGAGGTGGTGATGGCTATGGCGGGACTTGGCCAGAGGGTCCGTTTGGGCAAAGATCGCCTGTTCTTCCGCAAACGAGCGAGCCTGGGAGAGGTCTAAGCGGCGTACGTCACTTGCGAAGCCAGATATGCAGCTTCCCGCGCCGAACTGAAGGAGTGAGAAATTAACGTAGATACAAGCAAGCGCCGGGCCGTGAGGGCTGAGGCGCTGCCGGCCGCGAGCACATATATATACCGTCAGCAGCTGTCGGCATGCGTCTCAGCGCGCCCCAGGTGAAGCATCACGTTTGGGTCTGTACGTTTCAAGGCAGGCTTAGCCGGCCCTCGTTTCTAGACACGAACAACAGTCCGCTGCAGTGTCGCGGGAAGGCGGCGCAAGGGTCGACGTTATATTGATTGATCCACCGTGTTGGGGCAGCCAGCTTGTCATGTCCGGCATTCGATAGTCCATCATTCCGACGGATATGCTGTCTACGCGCGCCATGCCGCCGCTGAAACTCGAGGACAGGAGTCACATCTTTCCCCAGCTTGTCACATTCTGTCAGTGAAACGGCCATCTCCAGGCCTGCGCGTGCACTGCGAGCGTCGCAGCTTGGCGGGTGCAGTCCCACCAGCTTGGGCACAGACGCATCCTGTGAACTTTATGAAAGGCGCAACATGGCGTGTTTACCCAAGTCGCGACTCAGCCGTCCTGGGAGCTCATCTCATCTTAATCAATCGACGGGCCAGGTGGAGCTGCGGATGAAGCTACGTCAGGCGTCGAGCGAGTGCTTCGAATCCGACAGAGCGCGACCCGTTCATGTTCACAAGTACGCTAGCCAGCACTACAATGGAGCTGCGTAGCGCGGTGAAAGCTGCTGCAGGGATGAGCGATGTCACATGAGTCGGAGCTTGTCACTGCTAACCTCCGACTAGACTTCTTTGAAGACCGCGCTCTCACCAACCACCTTTTCAACAACTGCACCCTGACCCCAACTAACACTCCGGCGCCAGAATGCCCGCCAGATCGGGCACCTCGTCATCGAGCATGCATACCGCCACTTCCTTCAGCTCCAGCTTCATGGACGCCTCGCCAACACGCCAGTCGCCGAATCGCAGAAGCAGTCACCGCCAAAAGCGCGAATCCCTCATCCGCGACCCCTATGAGAGCCCGGCCAAGCAACTAGCCCTCGAGTTCAACCTCCGCCTCAGCATATCCGACCGGGAGTTCAACGAGAAGCTAGACCAAGCTGCGAACGAGCGAGCGAAACAACATGCTCAACAACTCGCCCACGCTGCCGAGGAACACGAGCGCGTCTTCAGGAGCGCGAAGCTCGAGATCGAACGCATTGCTTTGGAAGAAGAGCAGGCGCGCCTACGCCATGAAGAGGCTCAAAGGCAGGAGATTGAGCGCCTGAAGCAGGAGAAGGCGCGCGAGCAAGCCGAGGCTCAGCAAAGGGCTCTGGAAGCAAGACAGCGCGAGGAAGAAGCCGCCCGCCAAGCCGCAGAACACAAGTTGAAGCTCCAACAAGCCGATGCCCGCATCAAAGCCCAGCAAGAGCAACAGGCGGCCGCTGAGAGGCAGAAGAAGGAAAAGGACGAAGCTGATCGGAAGGCTGCCGAGGCTGCGGCCGCTGCAGAGAAGGCTCGACAGCAAGCACCACCACAGCAGCCAGCCGCTCAGCCCACCCCCGCGCCGGCTCCCACACAAGCACCACCACAACCAAAGCCATCGAACGCCGCACCCGCAACTAGCACCAGCGCCGAGCAGATTCACGCCAAATACCTGGAACTTCACCAGCGCATGAAGGCCTTCCGCAAAGCTTTCTGGGAGGAACACAAGAAGCCAACCTCTCCTCTCAAGGGCCCCGTTGGTGATGCCCGACGCGCCATCCGCACTCGACTTGGTCAGATCACTGTGGAGCGAAAGGACAGCGCCGCCGCCATCAAGCGCCTCCGAACCGAATGCTTCGACATCGCATCAACAACACCCGGCCCCATGGTCGACATCCGACAATACATTGTCTCGCACCAGATCCCCCAGCTAGCCAACGAGAATGAGGCAGCATACCCGGCGTTCCTGCTCTACGTCTGGATCTGCTTCGAGAAGTTCCTCGTAAAGCAGTTCGAAAAGGAGGCTGCCAACACCGACGGACGCATCATCCAGGAAATTGGTTTGATAGCAGCCAGCTTGTTCGGTGACCAGAAGTACATGTGGAACGGTCTTCCTCTCACCGACATTGCGCTGGCCAAGCTACACAAAGCGTGCCCTATTCTCTTCGGCATTCGTGGTACTATGAACACCAAGGAAGGTCGGTTGCGTCTAGGCTGGCAGGAGGACTCAACCCCAGAGACATACTCGCAGCGTATGCGCGGTCTCGGAGCTGGCTACGCCTCCATGTCCCTCCGCTCATTCGGTGCCAAGGCGCCAGCGATTGCCGCCTCAGAGTACTGGCGTGCCATCTCGTCGATTTGCAACACACCCTCTGAGCAACTTTGGCCAGGACACTTCGCCATCCTCAGCGGCCTCATTCGCGACTACCACAAGAAGTTCATCCAGTTCTACGGCGTACCCGCGCGTGGTGTCCTACGTCGCGCTGTCGTCGATCTACCCGTCCGTGCACCAGAGCGCTGCAAGGACGCAGCGAGTACCATTGCTGTGTACCGCGAGACCTGGAAGAGGGAGGGGTTCTCGCTGGATTAGAAGAAGAAAAGGCGTGTTGACGCAGATGGAATAGCATTGGGGGCAATTTCTTTCATTGTCAAGAATCTTTTGTCAATCTTGCATGGGACGGCGCATATCATCAGCAGTATGACCTATGGTCGTGGGTTGCATCTTTTCTTTTTCTCTTCGGTTTTTCTTCTGTCTCGGTGGATAAGGAAATCTACAAAGTACATGCGTAGAACATCGTCGTTCGCGACAATGAAATAGTCTCGCTCATTATCTTACCTACCGCGAGCATGAATTGATCAATATCGCCCTATCCTCTGCCCCTAACCTTCGTGATACTACACGATTGAGCCTTCACATTGTAAGAGTAATTACAAAGACTCGAGCTGTGAAACTCACAGTTGTGAACAGAGACAACAGTTCCGAGTAAGCAGTGTGTCAGTTCGCACATTTCTTTCTCCCCTATAAGAAAGACCAAATCGTCACTCCGTCATTTCAGTCAAAAACATTCGAACGCCACTACTGTCATCAGGATGAGTACTCTTGTTGGCATGCCCGTAACCATCCAAAAAGGACTTCGCTGGAAGAAGGACCGGAATCTAGGAGTGGCGCCTGAGTGGACAACCGAGCCTAGTATCGAGGACGTCACAACACTCGTGCGACGGGAGCTGAAGATCCCGACTCCAGATCTATGCGTAGTTCAATTCCTAACCCAAAACAAATTCAACAAGGCTTACACCGTCACATGTGGCAGCTCGCAAGAATACGTCTTGCGTCTAACTGTACCCGTTGACCCACGATCAAAGACCATGAGCGAGGTGGCTACTATCAAGTATATCCGTCACCACACTGAGATTCCTGTACCACAAGTCTTTTGTCACCAGGCTAGTACCGCCAACGAGGTCGGACTTGAGTGGATACTTATGGCGCGCATGCCTGGTCGCAGACTCTGTGATGAGTGGAAGGGTATGGACTATCTCAAGAAAGAGCAATTGGTGCGTAAGCTGGTCTCTGTTCATGCGCAGCTCTTCCAACAGCGGTTCAACCGACTGGGAAACCTGTATCCTGCGAATGAACTTTCCCAGCTATCCACCTCCGATATGGACAATATCACATTCCTTGGACCGGACGCCTCAATCCGATCTACACAACTCGCCCTAGGCAAGATCGTATCAGCGCCGTTCTTTTGGGGCAAACATATCGACCACAACGTCCCACGCGGTCCCTACAAGCATAGCCGAGACTGGCTATCCGCACAACTCCAGCTAAACCTTCTCGACCTCAACGACGAGTCCAACCGCGAAACCTCGGACGAAATCAAGCGCTCAGTGTACCAAAACATCATCGATAGCCTTCCAAGTGACTTTGCCAAAGAGTGCGCCGCCCGGCATACGCAGCAAGTGAATGAAATGGATACAGGTCCGTTCCTTGAATATAACCGCGAAAAGGACGATAAAGCTAAGAACCGAGCGCAACGACTGCTTGATCTCCTGCCAAAAAATTTTCCTGAGGAGGAGGAGGAGGAGGAGGTGTTTGTGCTTCATCACCATAACCTTCACGCAGCCAGTATGCTCGTAGATGAGAACGGCGAGTTAACTGGTATTTCCGATTGGGAATGCGCGCATACTGCCCCCCTGTGGCTCGCATGTCAGTCACCTAAAATCTTGGAGTTGTCTGGCTCTACCGCATCAGTATCTAACCCCAACCCTATCCAACGCGAAATCGCCGAAGAGCGCAATGCGGAGTATGACACGAAAGTAAAGCTTAGACAGGTTTTCCTGGAAGAGATGCAGAGTGTTTGCCCTGAATGGGTTGAGGTACATCAGTCTAATCAGCTGAAAGTGGGTTTCGAACAGGTTGTACAGCATTTTGGTGCTGCTGGTGATGGTAAGTATATCGATCGGTGGATTGATGAGGTTGAGAAGAATGGAACTGCACCTCTGTTAAGGGAGATCATTCGCACTACATGGTTTGAAGAGTACTTTCGTAATGGGTACCCTTTTTAGTATTGAGTTATGGGATGGAAACATATCATGATCGAAACACATTAACCTAGGAAAAAAACCGAACACCCTGGAGCCTACGTCGACGTCAAGTCACCCACTTTACATATTTTTATCTCAATGTAGCCTGCAGACCTGTTTAGAATTGTTTAGTTCTTCTCTTGTATGAGGTGGAAAGGTGTTTAAGTAGTACCTAGGTAGTTAGGCGTTCTTTCCGAAAGAGGCAAAGTAATGGACATGGTACGAGTGGTGCCTTGAAGCATTGCGTGACTAAGCTCCGATGCTCTCAACCTCTCTTGCTCGTAGCCCAGTAAATGCCAAAACAAAACTTTAGTACCAGACCGCATCCATGCTTTCCCAACCCCCTACTGCGTGCCATCGGTGTAAAGCAAGAAAGCTGGCGAGATTTGACCGCAAAGGCGTGACATGATCCAGAAATAGCACCGCATTTTAGCGAGGCGCTAGTTGGGGGCCAGCCAACATCGTCCAGCGTCCCGCTGTTGTTAGGCCAGCCGTCAACACCACACACACCCGTTGGCCAGCAAGCTCCCACTCACCAGCCAGCGCACGCATGAGATGAGGGTCTGACACCACCATGCCGCATGGTCGCCGCAGACCTGCCGCAATATTCTGCTGTGGCGTCCAGTAACCACCAACTCCCATCCCACGATCTCTACAATGACGCGCCGCAGCTGGAGAGCTTGCAACTCGCATCATGGCTTTCTTTTACCGTAACAAGTTCGCCTATTCCCACCCCACAATTTGCCCACGTCGCCGTCCAATCCTCCTTGGGCTTGGCTCAGGCAGACACGCAGAAGAAGTGTAAGGCGCTCAGCCTTGTGTCGATTCATGATTGTTGCTGCTCATTTCTTTTAGCGCAGGTGGCTGTGCTTGCCTAAATTTCGAAACGTTGATCCTACAGCACAACTCTTTGGCACATCGTTGTCTTTGTAGAGGCCCTCATATTGGGCTGGCAATTCGTGTTGATATTGTGCGGCAGACAGTTGGGATGGGGAGTCGTTCGAAAGAGAAGCCACCCAATTCGTATGGTTCCACGAGCTGAATTGGTAGCTTCAGCTACGCAGACAGAAAGGGCAAGATCGCTCGGACGTAGCTCGCACGCGGTAGAGAACCATCCCCAAGTGGACTGACAGTAGATGGGGCCCCGACATGCACGCCCGTCACCGCCGTCTACCAAAACCCGTGCCACCACCAAACTGCCACACAGCTCCTTCTGATTCCTCGATTAGACGCGGTAGTCCAAGCTTCGACGGCCGTTCTCGACGTCCATCATTCGTTGGGCCTCTTGTTTTGCGCCAAGCTGCTCATCATACACAGGGGCGCAGTGACTTTTCTCCGAATTCATGGGCCTATTTCCCCACAACGTGCTGAGGCTGAGCATATCTTTCCCACTTTCGAGCCGCATACTGGACGCCTTCTCACGGATCCAGCGCCATGGGCGCAGGATCCAAAGGCCGGTGCGTCAAAGGTTTCATTTTACGGAGAGACTTATGTCTGCCTGGTGCCCGGTACCAGTTCATAGCAATAGCACATAAGGCATTACTCGAGCAAGTTCGTCTCAACAGTCTCATCGCTATATATCATCATATTTTCGAGGCATAGTAGTTGTTGTATATTCAACGCACCGCCACATCGCCTCCTATCTAGCACTACATATAAGCAAAGAGCTTCACCATTCATCTGAACTCTCACCGATCGATTCGAATCGATTATCCTTCCCCTACACAAACATACACCATCATGTCTCCTATACCAGTAGACAACAACCTCGTCGCAGACACCGACCTTCCTTCGAAAGTCTACTCAGGGTACTGGACAAAAGCCAACATCGCCCTCACCGTCGTCTTCGGCCTCATCTTCCTCGCCATCATCCTCGCCTGCCTAATATTTTATCTTCACCGCCGCAGCGAAAAGAAAAAGCTCGACAACCGCAAATCAGACACAGCCGGACTCCTCGCCAACGAAGACAAAACAAGCATGTTCAGCCGCGTCCGCGCAAGCAGCGTCACACTATATGTCGACTCGGAAGCGGACGCGCGCAACAAGAGATCGAGCACGGATACCATGCATCTCGTTCCGCTGCAGGTCACGCCTAGTGAGGAAGCTAGCGATCCCATCGGCGGCAATACAGAGAGCTCGGGTACGGGTGTTAGTTCGATGAGCCGCCAGAGCAACGGTACGCTTAGTACTATGGTACTCAGTCCCATATCGCCGAGTGGTGACGAGGGTGACTTGAGTTTACGGCCGGCACCCACAGGGCGCGCACGCAGTACGAGTACGGCGAGTCAACGGGCACGGTACTACGAGTCGACGCCTACGATTGCGATGCCACAGATTCCGAAGATCATTCACACGACGTCGGAGTAGAGAATCAGCCTCTATGGATACACGTTGTTGGTATTGAGGGGGAGGGCAGGTTACGAGTTGAAGGTTCAAATGTCTTACTTTCTCATTCTGTTGTTTCGCGCTTCTGCGGTATGTTCTCTTAACAAGCATTATTATATACCCTGTCTACGCTCCTGCACCTGGCATAACACGCAGTCGAGCATCTTCTAGACACTTCTATCTCATCTCTTATGAAAGCAAAAGGTTTTTCGATCGTACCTTCTTCACAACTTCGCCCCGTCATGCAATCCTTTGTATACTTCGTTTTCATGCAAGGCTTCTCATCAACAGTTGCCTTCATCGCTATAGCGCGGCTAGCTTAAGCTATTACCGCCCCCAAATGTGCCATCACGGTTGCCTGGTGGATGTTGTATGTGTTGGCATCTCGGCTCCACTCGGAGTGAGCACTAACAACACGCATCGATCCTCGACCCCGGCAAAAGCTCTGGTCTTGGATAAGACATGTAAGTATCAAATGACATCATATTCGAGGCTGAATACACCCCAGGGCTGTTTGTCTATGTGAACAGAAAAGCTCCTGCATCTTTATCAAAGTACACAGCCGAGAATACGTTCTGTGCCAGTCACCTTGAACCAGCCAGCTCGGACCTGTTAATTTCGTACCGAATGACTTCGCCTTGCAGTCAATCCCATAGATATCATACCCGAATTACATCCCAAAGGGTAGCACATCCGAACACGTCTGGCCGAACACTCTCTACGTCACTGACGCAGGTTCAACAGCTATCTCCAAGGCGGCCTCGGTGTCACCGATCAACAGCCCAAAAACAGACCCACGGCACAGTTCAACAAGCAGTGGGTAATCGCCCGTGCCACAAAGACCTCTTGCATGGCCCGACTGTGCCGTACGCGTTACCGCACCCCCGGATCAAGCCAAGAGCATGTGCCACAAGGGATATGTTAGCCTTGGCAACAATGAACGGTGGAGATGGGATACGCAGCCACACATGAGCTCACTGTGGCGGTGAAGTGGGAAGCTGAAATATGTGCGTGCAGTGATGAGCCAACGCGAAGCTTCCTTGATATACATGCTACTCCAACGCTCCACACGCTCTCCATCCCATGAACCTATCGCTAACAATGCAACACAAAACAATGACTAAACCGCTCAAAACATATCAAGACAGATACTCGAATCCATATCACGACCGCACGAAGCAAGTCTATACACAGTGTGAAACCCTCGTTCTAGCAACCAGAACGAACGCCATCATCGCTCTTATCCCATAATCAGCCGTTGAACAGTGCGCAAGCGTCGCCCTACTTCTTCGCAGCATTAACAACCTCTTCACTCAACTCCCACTCCGGGTCCCAATGCACATACTGCGTCATCGCCACAGAAAGCAGCCACTCAGTCTTGACAATGCGTGGAACCATGTTTTCTCTCTTAGCCAACTCACGGAATTTCGTCCAATTGGTAAACTCCTTTTTATCGGCGTCGGAGATGAGGTACAACACGTCTCCTTCGTCCTCGACCTGATTCTGACTGACCTCTTTGTCAGAGGTGTCGAGTTTACGTTTTGAAGCGGAGACGCCTGTTGGCTTCCCTTTCCAGAGCACGCATTTTCCGCCGTTGACTTCGACAATGTCTCTGTAGGTTTCGAAGCCGCCGCCGACTTTCTCTGTGCAGAACACGGTCCAGCCTTTGAGGAGACGCTGCTTGTTCTGCTTGGCGCGCGAGAGGGCTTCAGAGAGCCGGAAGTTGTTGGCCTCTTCGAAGTCTCTAGCTTGGAGGAGGTGCTTTTCCGCCGGAGGAAGCTTGTTGTTCTTCAGCGCGAAGTCAAGGTAGCTGGTTGATACGAGGGTGGGTGCGCAGGCTAGTGCTGCGATGAACTTCTTTGTTCGGACGGGTTGCGGGGCGCAGACTATGTCTACCTTTTTGAAGTCGTCGGTGATGAAGAGGCCGAGCTCTCGAAGGCGTGCTTTGTCTTTTGATTCCTTGTCGGGGTTGTTGGCCCATCGCTCATCCTTGGAGATCAACATGCGGAACTTGATAGGTGCGAGCTTCTCCTTCTTTGCTCGTTTGTTCTTGGTTGGGACTTCCGTAGCTTCGTCTTCTGTCTCGTCGTCATCGTCGACTTCATCAATGGAGCGTTTGCTTGAGACAGATTCACGGCCGCCCTTTGCTTGCTTCGTTCCATCGTCGATCTCATCTTCTGCCCGTCGTCGTCCACCGTGAATGACACCACCCTTGCGCTTCATCTCCTTCTCGAACTGTGCGATGTCTGGCGCAGCGTCGTGCATCTTTGCCAATGCGCGGTCTTTGGCTCCTCGACTACCTGGCGTCTGATTCTCTTTGCCATCGGTACGCCGAGGTGGCAACGGTGTTTGTGCATTGCCTCCGGATTTAGCCCGCTTGGGCTTCTCAACAGGCGGACTGCGAGGTGCTGGAGGTTCGCTTTGCCGTGGTGGGACGCTCGATGCTGGGACGTCATTCGTCTGTGGTGCTGCTTTGACGGCTTTTGTGGGCTTGACTTGTTTTGAGAAGAAGATCTTCTCGGTAGCCTCGCGATCGATTTCTGTCTGACCCAAGACCTCTCCAAGGTTGGTCCGGGCTGGGAAGTACGTGTAACGACCCTCAGTCAGCGGCATCTCCCTGCATTTTGCGTAACTATCTTCCAGCCACAGATGATTGACAATGTTGACGCCCCACTCCGCCGCGGCCTCGCACTTTTCGCTGTTCTTGTGCGCAGCAATAAGATGTGTGTTGTCCTGCTTGAAGGTCTTTGTGAACTCGGCACCCGTGGCCTTGATCAAGTTTTCCAGGTATATCCGCGCTTCGCCAGTGTAACTCGATATGCTGACTTTGTACTTGTTGAACCCTGGAATGCCTTCCCTTGGCCGCGGGTAGTGCATCATCCGCTGCATTGGGTTTGTCCAAATACCGTGTGTAATGAGATAGTACAACCAGCCCAGGTTTCCCACGTCTTTTCGCGCTTGCGATGCCTTGACATAGTCTGGGCCTTCTCGGTAATTGCAAACATACATGTCTGCATCATCGATCTTTGAGGTTACACTGCCGCCTCCAGCCTTGATCATGCCGGTTATGATATTCCTGAGCTTGGTGCTGATGTTCAGATCTTCGCCAAGCTTGACACGCTTCCCATCGAAGGCCTTGATCGCGCGGGGTGCCTCTAGGTGAGGCGGCGGCGGTACGGGATCGTTTTGAGGGTCTGGTGTGGCTGCGTCTCGAATGTGCTGGCTCACTCGTGTAGGAGGAATGGCGCCTGGCTCCATATCGGCGAGGATCTCGGGATCGGGAAGTGTATACGGTCGCTCTGATATTCTACGGCCAACTTTGAGGCAGTCGTCGAACCTGTGTGGTGTTAGATCAATTCAACTACCATGCCCTCAACTCAAACCTACCAGTGGGGCAGCACGATTGACAACTGCAGTCGTTTACTAATAGCGAGCTGACACCGTGGTTCGCTCACATCCAGTGCAATGAGATGTGTTACGAATTTTGAGAGGCTCGGTGTAAATTGTCCGCCCAATGCCAGTACACCACCCTCTATCGCTTCCTTGTCACCGCTCGGTATGTCCCCACAGCATATAACTACCTCGCTCATGAAGAGTGCGGGATCGGGGCTGTATGTCCGCGGATTCTTGGCCTTGTTGGACTGGAGCGACGCGTCTATCCATGTTGGCTTGACGACATGTATCATGAGGTCGAGGGCGCGGTAGTAGTCGGGGAAGTCGGCTGTCTCTGAGACAATGTAGCTGATTTCTTCTAGGTTGTCTATGCGGCCCTTGGTTACATTGAAGGGTACTGTTGTTCCGCGAGCGCCAGTGATAGCATCTTCGATCTATGCCGTCGGTTAGCAATACTTCTAAATTGATCAGACGCGTCGCATACCTGGCGCATACGGTCTTCTGAGAGGCCGTTGGGATATATCGTGAAATTGAGCTCCTCGAACAGACCCTGCGAGCCCTCTAGCATGGTCGTGTCTTCCATGGCTGCGACTCAGGGTGTTGTGTTGTATGTGTGGACTGTGATCGCTGTCGATGTTGGATTCGAAGGCGCGATGCGACACGGCTACACGCGAACTTTGGAGGCACGAACGCGTCAAGGCCCACGTGACGCCCCACCAAAACACTTCGACGCCGATTCCGTCATGACGGCGGAGCTCTGCCCAGAGTACAGTAGTATTTTCTTGCTGTTTGAAAGAAGCGCGCGCATGCGCAATGCGCTTCTCGAGATAAGCTCCAAGCTCAATGATCTCTTTGTCATATCTATGTGGAGGTTCTGTGGGGAGAAGAAGCCGTGATGGACCTCGGCATTCCCCAGATTACGCCGGCTGCTAATCACGACACCTAGAAGCATAGACGCCTCCCTGTGATCTAAGCGTATCATTTCGTCTTACCATCTCACTGCGCACGACTGACATCTTGACCTGCATATACTCGTCGTCCGAACCGTCCGATCGTCCGTCGGCTCAATATACGGCGTTGCATTAAGTTTACAGGTTCAGCCCGATATCGTCTGCAGTCAGCAAACATGTCTTCAAAGCACTTTCGTATAGACGAGCACAAGATAGAAGCATCACATATCCGTGGCTTTCCGCGCTCCACATCGACAAAGCAGGAAGAGGTCCTACAACTCGCCGTCAAGCAATACACCCCTCTCAACAACACGAGTCCGAAGCCCGGAGACATTACCATAATCGCAGCGCATGCGAATGGATTCCCGAAAGAGCTGTATGAGCCACTATGGGACGAGTTGTTGGGGAGGTGTCAGCAACATGGATTTGGAATCAGAGGAATTTGGATAGCAGATGTCGTGCACCAAGGCTTGAGCAGCGTTCTGAACGAAGATAAGCTAGGCAATGACCGTACGTACATAACTCTAAATGCGCCGAGAAGTATTAACGTCTATAGCGTCATGGCTGGACCATAGCAGAGATCTCCTCCACATGGTAAACATCTTCCGCGACCAGATGCCTCGCCCCATAATCGGCGTAGGCCACAGCATGGGCGGCTGCCAACTCGCCAACCTTGCCTTGCTGCACCCGCGTCTCCTCGAGACACTGATCCTCATCGACCCCGTCATCCAAGGTAAAGTCTCACTAAACGGCAACGTCGGACCAGCCGCCGCATCATCACGACGACGCGAGCGCTGGCCCTCACGCGAAGAAGCAGCCAAGAGTTTCGGCAAGAGCAAGTTTTACCAAACGTGGGATCCACGGGTCCTTGGTCTCTGGGTACAGTACGGTCTACGAGACGTACCAACAAAGTTGTTTCCCGACGCGAAGAAACCAGAGGTGACTCTGATGACGACTAAGCACCAGGAAGTCATGACTTTCCTCCGCCCGAACTTCACCGCAAGACCAGGAGACAAGGAACCTTCATCTGCGGAATTCACGTTCAATAACCCGAAGCTAAACAGGAGGACGCATGCCGACATCACGCCAACCCATGAACCCCAGACGCCTTTCTACAGGGGCGAGAGCACCATCGTCTTCAATCAATTACCGTCAATCCGGCCATCGGTATTCTATATCTTCGGTGAACACTCTTTCCTCACTGATGATGCCGTCATCGAAGATAAAATGCGTCTGACTGGGTCCGGTGTTGGCGGCAGTGGCGGACGCGCTGAAGGACGAGTAGCGAATGTTACGGTACGCGATGCTGGGCATTTGATCCCGATGGAGAAGGTGGAGGAGAGTGCGGATCACATTAGCAAATGGGTCGGCCAGGAGATGAAGAGGTATTGGGACTGGGAACGTAAGACGGAGGAGGAATGGGATGGGAAGCAAGGCGTGGAGAGGAGCGTGTTGCCTGAACGGTTTGTCGAGGAGCTGAACGCTTTGATTAAGCCGAGGGAGAAGAAGTCGTCGAAACTCTGAATGTTAGAATGGTTGAGATTTAATTGGCCGGATGTCTTTCAAGAACCATATGTCTGACCTATGCATTACATGGATAAACTTTCCCTAGCACTTGCACATCAATTCTACCTTCACCTCACACACCTGTACTCTTTCATCTTCAGTCCTTCTTACTCTCCCCCCTCTCCGGATAATACCCTCCTGCAAACTCCAAACTCGCCCCCTCCCACCTCTCCGTCTTGACCTCTTTCCACGCACTCCACGGCCACCACCCCTCCCTCACCCATATCCTCGCCTCAATCGTCGCAATAAAACTCTCTCTACAAAAGTTCGCCCGATGACCATCTGGAAACGGACTCGCGAGACCGAACCAACCCGGCTCCTTCGGCGCATGCGCCTTGAGTTCCATTTTGTGTGTGTAATTCGACACAGATAGCGAAAAGGTGCGGGTGTCCCATTCATTCGTGGCGCTCATGAAGGGGCTGAGGAGGTTGAGATACGAGACTGAGAAGGGCGGTACAAAGTCTAGGTCAAGTGATGGGGACCGGTATCCAAGCATGTAAGCGGTGTTGTACATGATCTTCCCGCCGGCGAGACAGATGCCGCGTTTTTCTTTGTTATCCCAGGCTTGTACCCACATGTGTGCGTCAGGGAAGCTATTAGCCCAGTTCTTCTCTTGGTGGATCGTTGCGCGACTTTTTCTGTCTTGTTCTGAGAAAGCCTCGCCTAGCGCGGGTATGTCGAGGGTGAATGTAGCAGGTGAGCAGAGGGAATGAACGTGCCAGTGCAGTGGGAAGGGGAGGTGAACCATCCATCCTTCAGGTGTGCTCTTGTCTTGTCTCCACGGCATGTAGTCTTCCTCGCATTGCGCTGAGAGTGACCAACTGCCGTCTTCGGCTGCGAACTTGTAGCTTGTGCGGCCGTTGCTCTCCGTGCTCATGATGCCCATGCCGGGGACGCGCAGGTCGAACGCTTTGGTTTGCTCATTGGTGGTCACGCGCTCGATGTTGTCGACGACGTGTTCCCGCTGGAATATCGGATGGCCTGATGAGGGGTAGTATGTAAACGATACCACGTGCTGGCGTGATGGGGCGCCAGGAACAGAGGATATTATCAAAGCGATGTGCGAGCCAGATGCGAGGTCGAATTTGGAGTAGTAGCCTTCGAATTGCGAGGATGGGTGAGGAGCGAAATGCTCCATGATGGCTTGTTAGTAGGCTGAAACCCCAGGGCGGTGGGTGTATAGAAAGTTTTCGCCTGTGGAGTGGTCGGGTGTTTGTGTCGATTGTTTGGCGTGAGTAGTGATGTTGTCAGGCTGGTTACTCATGACGTATGCAAATATTCGAGTTGGCAACTTGAACCCAAGACATCACACAAATTTATGTTGCACATGTTCTGGCGATAGATTACTCAAATGGTCCGCCTTAGCGTATTGTCATTCACCACGTTTGAATGCTGGCGCATTCAGACTCGATATATGCACCTACAACTACAAAGTTTTCGCAACTTCGGGTCTTACCACAATGTATGAGAAGCACAAAGCTTTCCTTATGGGTCTCAAGCTGGATAATTGCAGGGCTACTCAAATCTATAGTGAGGATGCGCTCAGGGTCTTGAGGACTTGGGAACCCCAGACAACGGTTGCTTGGACGATGTCCGCTTGTGTTAATTGTGCTACCCGCATGAAGCTCTTCATTCAGAACGCCACGCATCGTGGCAGTGGCATGGCAGTCTCTCAGACACTCACGATATCTCCTGATCTGGAAATATCGTCATGCTATACGTGAGCACCGGGTCTACAATAGTTAGCGTATCAGAAGGCAAAGTGTATTGCATGGAGACATACATCTTCTCAAAGGTCGACTCTATTCGGCAGAGACTTCGAAGGATCGCATGATCATATGTAGCGGAACATGTTGTTCTTCACGCTTCTCTTCATTGACGCTGGCTTTCCGTCCTCATATTCGATCCCGGCTTCTCCTCCCTCGCCGTCGAGTCCGGCCATCTTTGCCATCAACTCCGCGTCGAGCTCAGCTTGCGTCTTTTTCTTGGGCTTTTGATCGTCGGAAGTCTTGCCGCCGACCTTTTGAGCCTCGTCTTTTACCGGGTTTGAGGTTTTAGAACTCGCATCAGAATAGTATCTGCCATCAGGAATTGAAGGTAATATTTGTCGGCAGGACGCTTTTGAGGATAGCGTGGTGAGGAGAAGACTGGGGACGCGCCCCGTGATATTTTGTAGAGATACCATGGTTGAGGGAATGTGTGGCCCAGAGGGTGTGCAGTGAAGTCGTAGCAACACGACTATGGGAAGATGGGGATGGTAGATTTACGTCACTGTGACCGCGGTCGTCTGGCGCACGTGAAAGTCTGGTGCCTGGGCCGCGACTGCATTGTGTGCATCGCTCTGATGACTTTCCTTCAGAAGCGAACCGCGCATTAACATCACTAACCGCTGGTCTAAACTCCAGGTCGTTTTGCAAGCTACCTAGGTATCCAGACTTCACTTTGCTCGTTGCACGCGGCTTGGAGCTGCCAAGACGCTAGTGCCTGCAGCCCATTTTCAGTTTCGCGATCGAGGATACCATCGCTCACGACACGCGCGCCAACCCACGATACCCCCCGGAAGCCATCCAACATGGTCGTCACATCTTCCTGGTCCAACGTCGAGGACGAGGTCTTGAAGGCCGCCATCAGCAAGTATGGGCTGAATCAGTGGTCGCGATGCGCCTCGCTGCTGTCCAAGAAGAGCGCGAAGCAATGCAAGTCGCGCTGGACCAACTGGATCGACCCCGCTATCCGGAAGACGGACTGGTCGAGAGAAGAAGATGAGAAGCTCCTGACCATGGCCAAGCTCCTCCCCACCCAATGGAGAACTATTGCGCCCATTGTTGGACGAACGGTACGCTGTCGCGAATATCCCTTTTTTCTAGTATTATGCTAATCTTACGCAGGCGACACAATGTCTCGAGCGCTACCAAAAGCTGTTGGACGAACAAGAAGCAAGAGAGTCTGGTGATCTTGGACTGGCGGGTCCGGAGGGTGGAGATTCAGCTGCCCCTTCAGCAGATGATGTACGCCGTCTTCGTCCCGGAGAAGTCGACGCATACGCCGAGAGCCGCCCTGCAAGACCCGACGCAGTTGACATCGACGAGGAAGACAAGGAGATGCTGTCAGAGGCGCGTGCGCGTTTGGCAAACGTCAGCGGAAAGAAGGCCAAGCGGAAGGCCCGCGAGCGGCAACTGGAGGAATCGAGGAGGCTTGCCTTACTTCAGAAGCGACGAGAGCTGAAAGCTGCCGGTATCAACATCAAGATTACTCCAAAGAAGGGCAACCATATCGACTACAACGCCGACGTACCGCTCGAGAAGGAAGTCCCCTCCGGCTTCTTCGACACTACCGAGGAAATCGACCGCAATGAGCAACAACGAGAGGCTTTCGATCCGCGAAAGCAACAGCTTGCGAACAAGAGGAAGATGGAGTCACAGGAAGACGGAGGAGGTGACAGGAAGAAGAAGAAAGATGAGAAGTCAGGAGGTCTTGCAGCGTCGTATGCTAAGGCCGCACAAGCGCAGAGGATAAGGGAAGCAGAACAGAGCAGCAAGCGACGCGGTCTTGTGCTCCCAGCGCCGCAAGTCGGAGAGGCGGAGCTGGAAGATATCGTCAAGATGGGAACGACCGGACAGCGCGCAATCACTGCGGGTAGCAGCGATAACATCGCGACGCAGGGCCTGATCGGGAACTACTCGAATGTGATTGGCAACACACCCATTCGTACGCCCATGGCTCCCAAGGAGGAGGACTACGTCGCAAACGAAGTACGGAACGCCCGGATGCGAACAGAGACCCAGTCTGCCTTACTGGGTGGCGATAATCCAGATCTCGTAGACGATGAAGCACCTGCCTCGCTGTCTGGACCCGCTTCACGACACCAGATTGTGACACCAAACCCTATGGCAACACCGTTCAGGCAAGCAAATGGCGGAGCTGGAGAAACACCCATGCGCCAGGGACCGGGAGCGACGCCCATGCGAACACCACGCGATACCCTACGCCTCAACGGAGAGGAAAGTGGCATGCAACTTGTTGGCCAAACCCCCCGCGACATCAAGTTAAGGGAGCAAGCAAAGCGGCAAGACTTGAAGAGCAGGCTTGCTGCGCTGCCAAAACCCAAAGAAGAGAGCTGGGAGTTTGAGCTCCCAGAAGAGCAGGCAGATCACATGGAAGTCGAACTTAGCGAGGAAGATGCTGCTGAGCGCGACCGAAAAGTTCGTGAAGCGCGCGAAGCCCAAGAAGCTGCAGACTTCGGCAGGCAAAGTCAAGTCGTGCAGAAGTTCCTTCCAAGGCCTTCGCTAGTCGACATCGATGTTATGATGAAGCGCGCGCTGGACCTCTCTGATCCTGTCGAACGCGAAGTGGAGATTGAGATGGCTAAGCTCATCGCGAACGACGTCCAGAAGTTCGGCGATGGCCGAGTCACCGGTTCAGTGCAACGTCTCGATTCCATGACCGATGATGCTCTCCGAAATGCCAAGATGGAGCTTGCCCTTGAGCTTGCGATGACAACAGACAAGGACAAGAAGGCCTTCCACGCCGAACTCGACAGCTCCTGGACCACACTTCACGGTTCCGCAATCCTGCCTGGTATTGCAGGCTACGAGGAGGACGAAATCGACGAACACCAACTGCTCGTTGAAGCCTTCGATAACGCCCAAGAGTCCATCATCGAAGCCGCGGAACGCGCGAACAAGATCGAAAAGCGATTAAGTACACATCATGCCGGATACGTTAAACGATCAACTCTACTACGAGAGAAGATCAGCGGTGCATTCTCAGCACTCGAGCGTGCCAGGGACGATTTGAACACAGCAAGGACGGCACAGTACAGCGAGCAAGATGGTATCGCACGCAGACTGGAGAGCTTGCGCGAGGAAGTTCAGTTCGTTACGAAGAGGGAGAGAGAAGCACAGGAGCTGTACAGGAAGCGAAAGGAGGAGTTGGACAACTTGCAACAGCCTGTCAACGGTGTACACTAAACGATTTTTTGGGTAGACACTTTAGTCTAAGCCAGTGTTTTGATATGATTAGGGGATAGTTGGAAGGTCGGTATGCATTGGCGTGGCGTTGGAAATTGCACGGCAGGTACATTTTGAGACTGCTTTTGGAAAGTGAATGTCATTACTATGATATATCTCAACCTAGTTCAACTCGTGATCATGTTAATTGTGATGGTCTACCGGCGGGGATGTCGGACTTGTGGTTACCAAACGGTTCGTAGCGTCAGGTACCAAAAATCTTGTTCCCTGACTTTTACCCAATATATAAAGTAGGCTTCAAAGGTCTTCACCATGTTACACTATGCAAGCGCATTGCCCAACATACCAGCTAGTACCTTCAGGCTCGTTTGTTAGGGCCGGGCATTACCTGAAATGCGAGGCTGCCCATAGTCAGGCCATTGGCAGTGCATAGACTTTGAGCTAACACCGCATCAAGGCCCAACGCTCTCATTTCTCAGTGCCTCACTGTATACCCCCGCATGTGTCACAAGTGTCAGAACAACAAACGGAGATACGCCGTAAGGTGCAAAGTAGATGGTCATGTTTGTGAAAAGAAAGGTTTGATCGTATTCCATAATATCTGCCATGGTAAAGCCCCCCAGTCCAATCCAGTCCATTGGGGTATAAGAAAGAAGCAAACCAATCCGAACAGGCATCATCTCAAAGACGAGATGTGTAGAAAGTAACCCCAAGATCAACGCCGTTGACACGTCACCGTGAATACCCAATCTAATCGAAAAGCAAGAACCTCCACGACGTGACGTGGTGAAACGCCCCATTAACCAGTCATAAACATAACCCAATCAACAAGCACCAGCAACAACAAGTCGTAGGCATCTAGCACTTCCCATCCAACACCTCAAAGATGCCCACAACATGCACCTCACTCGCACCGCGCCCCATACTCGGCCTCGGCTCAAGGACATCGAGTTCCGTCTCGAACAAATGCTTCTCCTCTTCCATTTCAAACTCGTACACGCTGGGCTTGCGGCGCACAGCGAGGAGTTGGCGGATGGAGGAGCCGGAGGAGCGGTGGCTGTGTGGCGACGAGTTGCGCGTCAGCGGCGATGTGGTGCTGGAGGTGAAGACGGAAGAGGGGGATGCCGAGCGCAGGGAGTTGCGAGTGGGGCTGAAGGCCGTCTTGAGGCGACGGAGGGAACCGGATGTGCTGCGCAGGGGCGTGAAGGATTGGAAGCGGTTGGTGCGGCTTGGGGAAGGCATTTTGGGTGGTGGTGGTGGTGGTTACGTCGAGGTTGAAGTTGAGGTTGGTGGAATTGCTTTTCTCAGGCGGTGGTTGCTATGATGTAGCTTCCCAGTGTTTGAGCGGATGGAGACGCGGAGTGTTTGTCGGGTTCCGATGGCAAATGAAGGATGTTTCGAATAGATAGATCCAGCTGTCCTTACGAAGGAGTAATGTAAGGAATGGAAGTCGTAGGGATATGATAGGACAACGAGTGTTGGGTCTTGTCGATCGGCTTGCGAATCAGAAAGATAGAAGTGGAGGTGCAAAGGGAGATCAACTCTGTTCAAAGGGTATATATGAATGTAGATTGGACGTAGTAGTGCCTGGTCAAAGACACGGGCGCACAGTCTTCAAAGCGAAGGTAGTAAAAGGAGGAGGAGGAGGAGGAGTCGGGAGAGGAATAAAGAAGGAAAGTTTCGCAAGAGAAGTATTCCTGTGCTAGAAAAACAGGCGGACTCGCGGATCCTTAAGCATGCGTGTCGCATGTTGGCCTTCTTCCTGTGCCAGTGCGTGTTACGTCCCAGAAGCTAAAACCCTAGACGTGGGACATGGGCTGCTGCAGCGGACATCCCTGTCAGGAACGCGTGAATTGAGGGGTCGAGCCTCGTTTGATCACCCGTCTGGAAACAAGCGAGCGGGAGTCGTCGACTGACGGCCCATTGGGAATGCCGCGGAATGATTGCATGGCTTCATTTCAGAGGAGTGCCTGCAATCGATAAGAGATTAGCTGGCAGTGGGTAATCGTGGGATCATCCTCATTACGCTGTGGAGCTTCGTCATTTTGTCGACTTCGTGGTGGCTTCACACGAAATTGTGAGGGCTGTCCGGTGCTATTCTTACGTCGCCGAACTGCTAGTGGCCATGTTTTTGTTGACATGGACGTTGGTGGTGTTGCTTTTGTGCCCGACACGACGCGTTCTGGCTGCTTGTTGTCATCATCGCCTGGCGCTCTGCATCGTCTCGCCAGGGAGGTGTCCACCATCACGTCCAAGCCATAAACTTGTTGAACAGGCACGATGATCGGAGGGCTTTCCGCTCGCCCATGAACCTGGAGCCGGACGAGCCGCTCCCAGTTCGGCCGCTTCAGACGCGAATCACCCTGGCTGTTGTTTCTTGCTTGCAGCCCGCCAGCCCATAAGTAGGCATCACCCAGCACTTGAAGCTCGCAGTGTCTCCATGCTCAACCGGCCTGTCTCGAGACCTGGTGCTGCGTGTGTGATGCGAGAATCTGCGACAGGCGAGCGTATCCCGATGGGGGATGGCGCGGTTCGCACAGCTGTCTAACGGCAGACCAGCGTTTCAGACGCATCGGACGTTCAACAAATGCAGACGCGGTTGTGATGCTCCCGTGTGATGCTCCCGTGTGGTGTGTCAACATTGGAACTTGTGGGTGGCGAGCCAAAGATAGGTATGCATTGTGCTCACTGTTGGTGACGTGAGGGTGTCTGGTAGACACCACACTTGAACGTACATTAAGTAAGAGGTCGCCTCCGAGAAGCAGATCAACGTTTCAGGTTTGCATGCAACCTTCATCGAGGTGCGGGGCGATCGTATATCATAGTGCGCTATAATCGCGTGGTCTTTGTCGGGTCTAGAAGAGGTGGAAGAAGCTGAAATTCAACTGTAAGCAAGGGACAGGTTGTTATGCCTTCCAATGCCGAGTGACGGAAGGTACAATTAGCGTCTGTCACCTACACATGTTCATGCTGTCGGGTTGTTCTTTGAAGCATGGTACGGTTGGGCTGGAACCATTGTATATGTGTTCACGATGCACGTTGAGTAGCGTACCAGACATCTCGTGCGCTATCCCATGAACTAGAACGACCGACTCTCATATCCCTCGTCTAGAAGTCAACGGAGCAACGATGATTCGCACTGTTGGAAAGATATGAGGCTTCGTGATAGTAATATCTAAGGTGATTTGACCAATCGCTCAACGCCGACGCTATGCAATGCCAATAGTTAACTCCACCGCCATTACACCATTACAGGCCGTATCCCTATTCCCAACCGAACCATCAATTCCACATTATGGTTGCGTGTTGGGTTGATGCCAGCCGCACACGTACCCAATCATTCCAGACGTTCATGCAACAGACTCCGTATCGTACGCCATCCTGAACCATCCCGTTTTGGCTCGACGTGTTGCCGATACCATACCATGCCAGCTTGATCGACGTGAGTGACACCCGCTCGTGATTGTCCCTGGTGTTCGCATACAAATCTTCTCGGACGCTAATCGCGCCGTCTCTGAGTGAAACTCCTTCTAATCGATTCGCCCCATGCAGAATTGTCAAGCACTTCCAAAACATCTGCCGCACTGACTGCGCTATTTGCTCGACTGCGACTGTTCGCTTGCCCAGGATCAACCTCGAGAGGACTGGGTGGCCGACTAAGCGCCGAGGCAAACTGCCATTCTTGCTCGCTGCCAGACATGGAGAAGGGTGATGGCTGCGGGCTTCCCCGTGTAGGTGAGCCTGTTGGTGTTTGTTGTATGGAGTTGGTTCTGCTCCTTGTCCGGTCGTAAGGGAAGGCCGGTGGCGAAGTAGACGCACCAGCGGAGTTTCGAGGGGAAGGTGCGTAGAGATCCTGAGGCGAGAACAGAGGACTGGGAGGCCCGGAAGATTGCTGTCGCTGGGCATTTGTGATGTCTTCGTCGTCGATGAAAATCTCCGGAACAGTGAACTGAGGGACTGTTGCCATACGTCCCTGCTTCTTCAGGTCCATGGCACGACGGAAGCGCCGTGCCCAGTACAGTGTGTCGAAAAAGCCTTTGACCACGTTACGGCGGACAGCTTCTTCGATTCTTTGTAGGCGTGCTCTGCGCCTCAAGAACTCTTCCAGTCTCAAGCTCTTGTTGTCGTTGATGACTTTGTGGTGAGCCAGGATCATGAGCAGCGATGAAAACCCGATGCCTCTGTCTGGGTCGCTCGACACAAGTACTTCCTCATAGAAAAGATTCATGCGTCTTCGTCTGCGACGTATGTCCGCGACTGGCAGCTGGGCGAGACACCGGTTCAGTTTGTCCAGATCGATCTCCTTGGTCGGTTCACGGCCTGACACAGGGAGATTGGACTCCCTTCCGGGTGTTATCCCACACTCTTCGATCAATCGACCGACACTGAAGTCACAGTCATAGATACGCATCTCAAAGATACCGGACAGTTCCTGGTATAGTTAGTTTCGTGCTTGTATACCGTAATGATGAACTTACACCCAAAAGCCTGGGGAACACTTCTCTCGAGATGTAGCCGGTTCCATTCGGATCGTACTCAGCCCAGGCTTGTTTGAAGCGACGAATTTCCTCTCGGCTGATGACTGACAACCCGCTGCTTCGTTGATACACATAACTGAAACTCTCGTAAATCAACGAGACGAACAAGTTGACAAAGATGTACATGCTCAAGATGTTCCAAGTGATGAACAGAGCTCGCGCCCACTCGGGACTACCGCAGTCGCTGTCGAAGTATCTGTCGCCCACTGTGCAGTAAGGTTTGTCGACATTTGCATAGTCCTCCATGAACTCGTTCCAGCCCTCACCACCACTCATCACAAAGAGAAAGACGAGTGCTTTGGGCACAGTCCGGAAGTTGATGTTTCCAGTCTCGCTAGCTCCAAATCTGGTAAGACCAAAGGTTTGCGTGAGGGCGATGGCATATACCAGGAACAGGACGAACCATGTGGCGAGAAGGTTTGCGATGGATGCGAGACTTGCTGCGGCAGTTTTGAATAGCTGGTCGAGTTGATTGTTCCGAGGGATGAGCATGAGAGCGATGGAGACAAGGAAGAGCTTGTGCAGCTGGACGAACGACCTAACGTCATGCTTCGCTAACACAAGAATCGATGTCACGAAAGTTCCCGCAACAGAGAAGATCGAGTAAATGTCCCATGCGCTTCTCCGGAAACGGTGCCACGAGCGACCAATGATTCGAATGACGATATTCGCAATGAAGACGATGGTAAGCGCAAGGAAGATGTAGTCTAGTCATATTAGTATTATGACTTGGATTCCTTGGAATGAAAACTTACCCCTAGCTACCTCCCATGGACCATAACCTGGATACCACTCCAGACACAGCAGTAGGAGGTGCAGTATCAGGACGCCGGTAATAAATCTCTGCCATGGTCCGGTCTTGGTG